CCCCAAAACCCCAAAACCCCAAAACCCCTTTTGAGATAATAAATATTGATAGTTGATATTTTCACTCAAAATGGAAATTAATCCCAAGGAGTATGAGTTCAGCTGGAACCTCAAGGTAAGTAGCCAGTGGAGCCAGAATTTAGAAAGAGTACAAAAAAAGGTAGGGAATATGGATTAGCAACCTAGATTATACATAATTGATCTAAAATCAGGCAAAATACCGAACATTTCCCCAACAGCTAAGGAGAAATCGGAATTAAGAACTATTATGGGTGATAATACTCCTAAAATATCCAGGAATCTGTACAGAACACAAAGCTTGAGATCTTATAAGTTTCATAGTAAGTCAAAGCGCCTAATCCTAGCTCCTAAGCAAAATTAAGCACTTAACTGTGAACACAGATCTTGTTGTTCCTTCTCGGAATTACAAGATTCAATCAGCATTTTTCAAGAAATATACACCGATAAAAATAAAAAACAAATCCCAAAAGAAAGCAAGTTTTGATGTTGCAGCTAGTTCTGATAGCAGCTTCTCCTCTCACAATGTCACAGAAGAAGATATTCAACGGTTAAAAATTAGACCTGCCAAAGTTCAGAAAGGTATAAATCCATTCTATCTCATTAAAAAATCTAGAGGCAAAGTTATTCAGGACCATCAAGCCTCGGCTGACTAAGATAAACTCCAAAAAGTTAGCAGTTTTGTTATATTTCTAGGAATATCTGGAGAGCAACAGGCAAAAAGTCATACAAGAAGCCTTCTATATCAGTATCCCAGTGTAATTTAGAGAAAGAGAAGCGAGAATCTATTCAAAGAGCAGTTGACGATGCCAGAAATAACTTCGAAATGAAACTAAGTACAAGCCAGGTTCAACTTATCTTCTATAGATAAAAAGTTCTCGCAGGTGAAATTATATAAATCCCAAGAGGAAATTGACAAAAATCCACCCGACAAAATCCTCAAAAACATGGCTAACTACATTGACCTTATCAGTCAAGCGGCTCGTGAGAAAATCCAAACTCTGCAGGCCAGTCGTAGTTTGCGTTCCCGACTCCGTACAAACATCGATGTATTTTCCCTCCTCATCTATAGCAAGCTATGACCTCTTCTCTAGGTGGTGACAGTCTCGAGATGCTCGAGACTTCAGAGCCCAACTCGATCACCACTGAGAAGATCTTCTCCAAGCTTAGGTCCAGCTACAGGCTATCCAAGCACTTTAATGCAGAGTCTATTAAATAGCTTGGCTAAAAAGAGAGAGGTGTTGAAAATGCAGCAGGTTGTTCAGGAAAAGGAAATAAAGAAAATCAGTACTTTTATGAATAAGAAATAGTCGAACAATACACTGAGGGGAATAAGGAAACAGAACAACAATATTTAGAGCGGATCATCACTGAGGCCAAGCTACTTTCTTCATGGGGCAAGAGAGAAGTAAATATACAAATAACTGGGAGTATATAGGTCTTTAAGACTCAATCAGTAGCACTAAATACTAAATAATATGAATATGACAAAGATAAACCCTACTGAGCAAGGAAAGGTAAGCCTCAATTCTTCTTATTACAGCTACTTTATATCAAACTGAGGTAAAATTTGGTATTAAAAGAGTAGAAATCAAGCTAATAAACAACAAAATCAGCGGAGATTGAGTCTAGACCAACCCAGAAGAAAGATGATAACCCTCAAGGATTATCAAAAGTAAGTTTTATAATGACCTTCTAGCCTGACCAACAAACTTCTTAAGATTAAATAAAAATAATATGGCCACTCGCCTTGCTGACCAAAGTGAACAAAACTCAGAATTTTTATATATGTAAGGCTTTCTTAACAATTCCCTAGATCGAACTCATCAGATTCAGGAAGGTATATTCCTCCTGAAAGAGAAACATCTCCAAAAAAGTTATCTTAGAGTAGAAGAAATCAATAAGAGCAGCAGAATGCTCAAGATTGAGGTATGAGTCTAATGTATAAGAATCTAGAAGGATTTCAACTTGAAATATTATTCATTTAGAATCTTAATATTTCTCAATAAAAGAGATTTATATTTCAATAAAATACAGATCTTAAGGGGTTTTGGGGTTTTGGGGTTTTGGGGTTTTGGGG